AGTAGAGGAGCCAAGGCGATCAGTACGCCTAAGCTTCAAGCTTGCGCAAGAGTGCCTCCGGGATGCTACGAGACGATTATAGGGAGATTGCTTTAAGCTTGTATGAAGTTTACCTGCCGACCATATTTGCCGACCATATTTCTCAAGATTCAAAATATCACAACTTGTAGCATAGCGTATATATAATCCTGAGCTTCTTCATTCAATTTAACTATAATCTTCACTTTCGTATCTATATCGGGTTTATATACAGTTTCTTTTCTTATGCCTAGTCCAAATAAATCGCTTCTTCGCTCTCGTTAGGGCACCCGGTTTCTGGGTTTTTTATTTCTATATACGAAGATTCAATACCCAATAGGTACGCAATACCCACTAGGTATCGCAATACCCACTAGGTTTGTACCCAACCCGATGGGTTGGGTATACCCAGCTAAATACCCATACCCATTGGGTATTGCCAATACCCAACCTACCCCACATACCCACCAGGGTGGGTTGTACCCATGATGAGGCCTAGCTTAGTATTAGTAATATATCCTATAGGCCTATTTGTTATTAGTATAGAGTATATACTAATCTTAATTCTTATATATATATATATCTCTCTCTCGTCTCTCGTCTTATAAAAGGATAAGATATATAGGCTAAAGTATCTATTAGAAAAGTACTACTCGAATCGCTTAGAAGAAGAGTAGGAATATATCTTCTTCCTCTATTTATAAGTATAACTCTAGAGATCTAGAGTCTCGGTCCCTCTTCGGGTTCGATTTAGAATATCTCGATCTAAGATCTCTTACTCTAACTTTCCTCGAGCTATCTTAAGTTATATAGGTCTAGCCTAAACTCTCTTAAATTATAGTAGCCTATTCTAGCCTATCTTAGGTACTTCCGGGCTATTTCGGGTCTATCCTAAGATATCTATATTACTATCTAGTCTAGATCCTAATATTGCTCTCTCTCCTTTTTATAGTTGTCCTTAACTATATAGGCCTCTGTTTTTTCTCTTTGTTCCTAGAATAATAAGGTATTAAGTAAATAAACCTATAGAAAGTAATAGATCGTATTCGTCTACTCTAGAATCTAATAGAGCTTCTTCTAGCAAATACCTTCTTTTAGTATAGAAAAGGGCGTCTTTTCCTAATAATTTCCTTGTCTATATACTAATATCGCTACTTTTCCTAAGATTTGTAAGTAAACTATTTTTCTCTATCGCCTAATTTAGTAGTTCCTCCTAAGGTAACCGGGGCTT